GTCACGTCTGTGGTTAGAAACGATTTTAGATAAACAAATTTTTGATGTTTGAACAGCCTTGGATTATTATGGATTGCCTTAAAGGATGCAAAAAACGTTGGCCATTCGGTATTTTCGCCATTGAATCTTTCTATTTTCAACTCAGGAGGTCTCAATGAGCTATCGGTGTGGACTTCGCGTATAATTGTATTAATAGTTTCGGTTGCCGGAGCAGCCGAGATAGCAGAAGTGGCGGAAGTTGCTGTTGTTGCGTGAAGATCGGTGTGTAATTGGTCGAATGCACTTTCAATATGATCGATTGCATCCGCAAAGATATCTCCCAAAGATATCTCTTTTGAAATATTCATCGTCGATAGATAAACTTGAACGCACCAACGTTCGATAATTTGCGTTGAAAGTCTTAAGAGATTGTGCGATTCGATTGAGACGTGTCATGAACTGCCCCTTAGAATGTCTGCCTCGGCCGTCTTTGTCGAGGATTGGTCGCTCTTTACGTAGTCGTTCGAGTAAATCGAGTTGTTCTGCTACCAGTTGCTCTTCGTCAGTGAAGGCCGCTGATTTGGCAGCCGTGGAATCGTCGTCCGACATGTCGAATAAACAATTGCCAAACGAATATGTTAAAAGTCAGTTACCTCGAAAGTCTGCGTTTTAGAGGTTTCGACCCGTCCTTTTGTTGATGATTGTCTGCAATAGATATCCAGCAGTGCTGGGTATACGCTCTGATGATTCCCGATGAAAATAGTTTTTGATGAAGTGGGCTGTCCCCTTGAGCGGTGTCCTCTTACGATAATGAATGCCAAAAGGTTGCGAGAATAAAATTTGCTGTGTCTTTTTGCACATTCAACGATGAAGTTATGATGTACTATTGGAATGTATAAAATTTCCAAATTCCAGAGAGTCAATGATTTATCCGTGTACGGAGTGGTTGACAAAACGTGCTTGTTAAGGTTACGTTACCATTCTTCGCAAAACACGTGGGACAGAAAGACGTGAAAAATTCACCTGCGTAATTAGCAACTCAATACAAGAAAAAGCGTAATAAATTAAAACTTGAATTTATTACTATACTAAGAACAAAATTTTATTCAATTAAATATCAAAAAGAAAACTATTAAAACACAAGAAAGAATAAAGAGACTACTACATAAAATGGATGATGAGGACGAGGGGTCATTTGACCCCTCGCATACTGCAGACCGGAGATCGAGAAGTAGGAGTACAATTAGAAAAAGAACAAAGAATGAAACACACATACCAGAGATGACTATAGCACCGATCCAGGGCTCAATAATGCAAGCAANTCGAGAAGTAGGAGTACAATTAGAAAAAGAACAAAGAATGAAACACACATACCTGAGATGACTATAGCATCGATCCAGGGCTCAATAATGCAAGCAACCAACACAAAAAATAACCTTAATACTAACCAAGTAAGTACAAATGAATATAAATACAATGACAAGCACATGGGACCATTCATCGTATACCTCGACAAACGTGCGGAATCGGGAGAAAGAAGACCCATCAACGCAATCAGTGTTTCTAAAATGCTTGTAACGCTTAATATTAACGATGTAGAAGATGTATTTAAAATTGGCTTTG